ATGTTGTGATATAGAGAGGAGTGTGACTGTATATTGTGATATAGAGAGAAGGAGTGTGACTGTATATTGTGATAGAGACAGAAGGAGTAAGACTGTATGTTGTGATATAGAGAGGAAAAGGATTGTGACTGTATGTTGTGATAGAGAGAGAAGGAGTGTGGCTGTATGTTGTGATAGAGAGAGAAGGAGTGTGACTGTATGTTGTGATAGAGAGAGAATGAGTGTGACTGTATGTTGTGATAGAGTGGGAAGGAGTGTGACTTTATGTTTTGATAGAGACGGAAGCAGTGTGACTGTAAGTTGTGATAGAGTGAGAAGGGGTGTGACTGTATGTTGTGATAGAGTGAGAAGGAGTGTGACTGTATAATGTGTTATAGAGAGAAGGAGTGTGACTGTATGTTGTGATAGAGACAGAAGGAGTGTGACTGTATGTTGTGATAGAGTTGGAAGGAGTGTGACTGTATGTTGTGATAGAGAGGGAAGGAGTGTGACTGTATGTTGTGATAGAGAGAGAAGGAGTGTGACTGTATGTTGTGATAGAGAGAGAAGGAGTGTGAGTGTATGTTGTGATAGAGTAAGAAGGAGGAGTGTGACTGTATGTTGTGAAAGAGAGGGAAGGAGTTTATATATATGTTGTGATAGAGAGGGAAGGAGTATGACTGTATGTTGTGATATGGAGAGAAGGATTGTGCCTATATATTGTGATATAGAGAGAAGGAGTGTGACTGTATGTTGTGATAGAGAGAGAATGAGTATGACTGTATGTTGTATTAGAGAGGGACGGAGTGTGACTGTATGTTTTGATATAGAGAAAAGGAGTGTGATTGTAGTGTGACTGTATTTTGTGATTAGAGTGAGAAGGAGTGTGACTGTATGTTGTGATAGAGTGGGAAGGAGTGTGACTGTATGTTGTGATAGAGACAGATGGAGTGTAACTGTATGTTGTGATATAGAGCGAAGGAGTGTGACTGTATGTTGTGATATAGAGAAAAGGAGTGTTACTGTATGTTGTGATAGAGAGAGAAGGAGTGTGACTGTATGTTGTGATAGAGAGAAGGAGTGTGACTGTGTTGTGATGTGATAGAGAGAGAAGGAGTGTGACTGTATGTTGTTGTGATGATAGAGAGAGACAAGGAGTGTGACTGTATGTTGTGATAGAGACAGATGGAGTGTAACTGTATGTTTATGATAGAATGAAAAGGAGTGTGACTGTATGTTGTGATATAGAGAAAAGGAGTGTTACTGTATGTTGTGATAGAGAGAGAGAAGGAGTGTGATTATATGTTGTGACAGAGAGGGAAGGAGTGTGAGTGTATGTTGTGATATGGAGAGAAGGAGTGTGCCTATATATTGTGATATAGAGAGAAGGAGTGTGACTGTATGTTGTGATAGAGAGAGAAGGAGTGTGACTGTATGTTGTGATAGAGAGAGAAGGAGTGTGACTGTATGGTGTGATATAGAGAGAAAGAGTGTGACTGTATGTTGTGATAGAGAGAGAAGGAGTATGACTGTATGTTGTGATATAGAGAGAAGGAGTGTGACTGTGTGTTGTGATAGAGAGGAAAGGAGTGTGACTGTATGTTTTGATATAGAGAGAAGGAGTGTGACTGTATTGTGTGATTGAGAGGAGTATAACTGTATGTTGTGATAGAGAGAGAAGGAGTGTGACTGTATGTTGTGATAGAGAGAGAGGAAGGAGTGTGATTGTATGTTGTGACAGAGAGGGAAGGAGTGTGAGTGTATGATGTGATATGGAGAGAAGGAGTGTGCCTATATATTGTGATATAGAGAGAAGGGGTGTGACTGTATGTTGTGATAGAGAGAGGAGTGTGACTGTATCTTGTGATAGAGATGGAAGCAGTGTGACTGTGTGGTGGGATAGAAAGAGAAGGAGTGTGACTGTATCTTGTGATATAGAGAGAAGGAGTGTGACTGTATGTTATGATATAGAGAGAGGGATTGTGACTGTATGTTGTGATAGCGTGAGAATGAGTGTGACTGCATGTTGTGATAGAGTGGGAAGGAGTGTGACTGTATGTTTTGATAGAGAGGGAAGCAGTGTGACTGTAAGTTGTGATAGAGTGAGAAGGGGTGTGACTGTATGTTGTGATAGAGTGGGAAGGAGTGTACCTATATGTTGTGATATAGAGAAAAGGAATGTGACTGTATGTTGTGATAGAGACGGAAGAAGTGTGACTGTATGTTGTGATAGAGAGAAAAGGAGTGTGACTGTATGTTGTGATAGAGAGGAAAGGAGTGTGACTGTATGGTGTGATAGAGTGGGAAGGAGTGTGACTGTATGTTGTGATATAGAGAGAAGGAGTGTGACTGTATTGTGTGATATAGAGAGAAGGAGTGTGACTGTGTGTTGTGATAGAGAGGGAAGCAGTATGACTTTATGTTTTGATAGAGACGGAAGCAGTGTGACTGTAAGTTGTGATAGAGTGAGAAGGGGTGTGACTGTATGTTATGATAGAGTGAGAAGGAGTGTGACTGTATGTTGTGATAAAGAGGGAAGCAGTGTGAGTGTATGTTGTGATATAGAGAGGAGTGTGACTGTATGTTGTGATATAGAGGGAAGGAGTGTGACTGTATGTTGTGATAGAGAGGGAAGGAGTGTGACTGTATGGTGTGATATAGAGAGAAAGAGTGTGACTGTGTGTTGTGATAGAGAGGGACGGAGTGTGACTGTATGTTTTGATATAGAGAAAAGGAGTGTGACTGTATGTTGTGATAGAGAGAGAAGGAGTTTGACTGTATGTTGTATTATAGTGAGAAGGAATGTGACCGTATGATGTGATAGTGTGAGAAGGATTGTGACTGTATGTTGTGATAGAGTGCGAAGGATTGTGACTGTATATTGTGATATAGAGAGAAGGAGTGTGCCTATATATTGTGATATAGAGAGAAGGGGTGTGACTTTATGTTGTGATAGAGAGAGAATGAGTGTGACTGCATATTGTGATAGAGTGGGAAGGAGTGTGACTTTATGTTGTGATATAGAGAGAAGGAGTGTGACTGTATGTTGTGATAGAGTGAGAAGGGGTGTGACTGTATGTTGTGATAGAGTGAGAAGGAGTGTGACTGTATGTTGTGATAAAGAGGGAAGCAGTGTGAGTGTATGGTGTGATATAGAGAGAAGGAGTGTGACTGTATGTTGTGATAGAGAGGAAAGGAGTGTGACTGCATGATGTGATAGAGTGGGAAGGAGTGTGACTGTATGTTGTGATGTAGAGAGAAGGAGTGTGACTGTATTGTGTGATAGAGAGAGGAGTATAACTGTATGTTGTGATTGAGAGAGAAGGAGTGTGACTGTATGTTGTGACAGAGAGGGAAGGATTGTGAGTGTATGATGTGATATAGAGAGAAGGAGTGTGACTGTATGTTGTGATATAGAGAAAAGGAGTGTGACTGTATGTTGTGATAGAGAGAGAATGAGTATGACTGTATGTTGTATTATAGTGAGAAGGAATGTGACCGTATGATGTGATAGTGTTGGAAGGAGTGTGACTGTATGTTGTGATAGAGAGAGAAGGAGTTTGAGTGTATGTAGTGACAGAGAGGGAAGGAGTGTGAGTGTATGTTGTGATAGAGAGGGAAGGAGTGTGACTGTATGTTGTGATATAGAGAGAAGGAGTGTGACTGTATGGTGTGATATAGAGAGAAAGAGTGTGACTGTATGTTGTGATAGAGAGAGAAGGAGTGTGACTGTATGTAGTGACAGAGAGGGAAGGAGTGTGAGTGTATGTTGTGATAGAGAGGGAAGGAGTGTGACTGTATGTTGTGATATAGAGATAAGGAGTGTGACTGTATGTTGTGATAGAGAGAGAAGGAGTGTGTCTGTATGTTGTGATATAGAGAGAAGGAGTGTGACTGTATGTTGTGATATAGAGAGAAGGAGTGTGACTGTATCTTGTGTTAGAGAGGGAAGGAGTGTGACTGTATGTTGTGATATAGAGAGAAGGAGTGTGACTGTGTGTTGTGATAGAGAGGGACGGAGTGTGACTGTATGTTTTGATATAGAGAAAAGGAGTGTGACTGTATGTTGTGATAGAGAGAGAAGGAGTTTGACTGTATGTTGTGATTGAGAGAGAAGGAGTTTGACTGTATGTTGTGATAGTGTGAGAAGGAGTGTGACTGTATGTTGTGATATAGAGATAAGGAGTGTGACTGTATGTTGTGATAGAGAGAGAAGGAGTGTGAGTGTATGTTGTGATAGAGTAAGAAGGAATGTGACTGTATGTTGTGATAGAGAGAGAGGAAGGAGTGTGATTGTATGTTGTGACAGAGAGGGAAGGAGTGTGAGTGTATGTTGTGATAGAGTGAGAAGGAGTGTGACTGTATGCTGTGATATAGAGAGAAGGAGTGTGACTGAATGTTGTGATAGAGTTGGAAGGAGTGTGACTGTATGTTGTGATAGAGAGGGAAGGAGTGTGAGTGTATGTTGTGATAGAGAGGGAAGGAGTGTGACTGTATGTTGTGATATAGAGAGAAGGAGTGTGACTGTATGTTGTGATAGAGAGAGAAGGAGTATGACTGTATGTTGTGATATAGAGAGAAGGAGTGTGACTGTATGTTGTGAAAGAGAGGGAAGGAGTTTATATATATGTTGTGATAGAGAGGGAAGGAGTGTGACTGTATGTTGTGATATGGAGAGAAGGATTGTGCCTATATATTGTGATATAGAGAGAAGGAGTGTGACTGTATGTTGTGATATTGAGAGAAGGAGTGTGACTGTATGTTGTGATATAGAGAGCCGTGCCTCCGAGTGTGACTGTATGTTGTGATAGAGAGAGAAGGAGTGTGACTGTATGGTGTTGTATAGAGAGAAGGAATCTTTATGTTAGAGAGAAAAGGTAGTGTGATATAGAGAGTGTTTTATTTGTGTTGAATGTAGCAAGACCTTGTTGACAAAGTGCTTGAGCTGTTGGATAGTGTGATGGTCGTTACATCGAGAAAAGGAAGTGTAATTTGGTGTGTTGTCCAATAGAGTGAGGGAAATGACCTTGACAGGTGAAATGAAGCTTGTGTACAATGTTCATCTTATTACAAGAAATTTGTACAATGGTTACATTAGGGACATGCAAAACAAATATATGTCGTTTTTATTTGTGTTGAATGTAGCCAAGAAAGTTAAACAAACCTTGATGGCTGAAACACTGTTGCGCTGCACCGGCGTGCCGTGCCTCCAAACCAGTGATATATTATGTTTAACGACAATTTAACGAACCAAAAACACCAATCCGTTATCTGTAAACAATCTTTTGCCGACAGAAAACAAATATATCTCGTTTTTATTTGTGTTGAATGATGGTCTGTTTCCATAGAATATCTTCTTTTATAGAAAGTACACATTTCGCAAGCAAGGTCTTAAGCAATAATGATGGGATATTTCGAACAACTACATTGTAAGTATGACTGTTTCTCAAAATAATCCTCATCTTATTTCATTCTGACTAATTCTTTGTGTTTTCTCGGCAGTTTTTCGTCCCTTGAGTGGAGGTGTGGATATTCTGGTAGATAACAATCTTTGTGTTGATTCGGATTCCTTCCACTGTAACGAGGCTGGCACCGAATGTATCGACCAATCGCTTGTCTGCAACGGGGTCAGCGAATGTAGTACTGGGAAGGACGAGGCTGTCGACGTTTGTGGTGAGAGGGAACTTCCATTTATACTGTATTATCCTGACAATATAAGAAAAAATGCAAATACGATTTTAGCTTTTATCAAATGTAGATTCTTACTTATTCGTGATATTGCTGTTATCACACTTTATTTAGCTTGTAAAAACCTGGCCACTATCTACCATTTAGCCATGGTAACACGATTTCCAGATGGTAAGTACAATGCCCATTGTTTCTACCATGTTTATTATGACGTCACAATAGAGACAACAAAGAAAATAAATTTAATATATAAACTTTACAATTTCACAACAATTACGAACCAAGTTATTTCAACTTATACTAATCACCCTTGTTGGCCCGGATGTTAGCGCGTTCATTGTGGGAGGAAACCGGAGTACCCGGGGAAAACCCACGTGGTCGGGTAGATGACCCAATACCTGTTACATGTACATGCAATTTGATAATGACAAATTGCGAATTTTCGTAAAACATTTGATCATTCTATACAAAAAATCTTGAATCAATTTCAATTCCATAATCACGTAACTGTTTTCATGTTAATTTGCCAGCAACATTATAAAACGGTTTTTAAAAGTTAAGAATCGCTTTATAATATCTATTAAATGTAAATCTTGTGTTAACTCCACACTCTCTCTCTGTATCCTCGATACTCCAGGGGTTACAATCACTTTTTCTCTCTGTATCCTCGATACCCCAGGAGTTAAAATCACTTTCACTCTCTGTATCCTCGATACTCCAGGGGTTACAAACACTTACTTTTTCTCTCTACAATTACTTTTTCTCTCTGTATCCTCGATACTCCAGGGGTTACAATCACTCTCTTTCTGTATCCTCGATACTCTACGGGTTACAATCACTTTTTCTCTTTGTATCCTCGATACTCCATTGCTTACTATCACTTTCTCTCTCTGCATCCCAGGAAAGATCCTCGATACTCCAGGGGGTTACAATCACTTTCTCTCTCTGTATCCTCGATACTCCAGGGGGTTACAATCCACGGGTTACAATCTTTTCCTCTCTCTGTATCCTCGAAACTCCAGGGGTTACAATCACTTTCTCTCTCTTTATCTTCGATACTCCAGATGTTACGATCACTTTCTCTCCATGGGTTACAATCACTTTTTCTCTCTGTATCCTCGATACCCAAGGGATTACAATCACTGTCTCTCTCTGCCATCCTCGATACTCCAGGGGTTACAATCACTTTTCTCTCTGTATCCTCGATACTCCAGGGGTTACAATCACTTTCTCTCTCTGTATCCTCGATACTCCAGGGGTTACTCGATAATCATCACTTTTTCTCTGTATCCTCTCTCTCTGTATCCTCGATACTCCAGGGGTTACAATCACTTTTTCTCTCTGTATCCTCGATACTCCAGGGGTTACAATCACTTTTTCTCTCTGTATCCTCGATACTCCAGGGGTTACAATCACTTTTTCTCTTTGTATCCTCGATACTCCAGGAGTTACAATCACTTTTTCTCTTTGTATCCTCGATACTCCAGGGGTTACAATCACTTTTTCTCTCTGTATCCTCGATACTCCAGGGGTTACAATCACTTTTTCTCTCTGTATCCTCGATACTCCAGGGGTTACAATCACTTTTTCTCTATGTATCCTTGATACTCCAGGGGTTACAATCACTTATTCTCTTTGTATCCCCGATACTCCCGATGTTACGATCACTTTCACTCTCTGTATCCTCGAAATTCAAGGTATTACAATCACTTTCGCTCTCTGTATCCTCGATACTCCAGGGTTACGATACTTTTTCCTCTGTATCCTCGATACTCCAGTGGTTACAATCACTTTCTCTCTCTGTATCCTCGATACTCCAGGGGTTACAATCACTCTCTCTCTGTATCCTCGATACTCCAGGGGTTACAATCACTTTTTCTCTCTGTATCCTCGATACTCCAGGGGTTACAATCACTTTCTCTCTCTGTATACTCGATACTCCTGGGGTTACAATCACTTTCACTCTCTGTATCCTCGATACTCCAGGGGTTACAATCACTTTCACTCTCTGTATCCTCGATACTCCAGGGGTTACAATCACTTTTTCTCTCTGTATCCTCGATCTCAGGGGTTACAATCACTTTCTCTCTTTTTATCTTCGATACTCCAGATGTTACAATCACTTTCTCTCTCTGTATCCTCGATACTCCAGGGGTTACAATCACTTTCTCTCTCTGTATCCTCTCTCCAGGGGTTACAACCACTTTCTCTCTCTGTATCCTCGATAATCCAGGGGTTACAATCACTTTTTTATCTGTATCCTCGATACCCCAGGGGTTACAATCACTTTCTCTCTCTATATCCTCGATACTCCAGATGTTACGATCACTTTCTCTCTCTGTATCCTCGATACCCCAGGGGTTACAATCACTTTCTCTCTCTGTATCCTCGATACTCCAGGGGTTACAATCACTTTCTCTCTCTGTATCCTCGATACTCCAGTTGTTACAATCACTTTCTCTCTCTGTATCCTCGATACTCCAGGGGTTACAATCACTTTCTCTCTCTGTATCCTCGATACTCCAGGGGTTACAATCACTTTCACTCTCTGTATCCTCCATACTCCTGGGAATACAATCACTTTCTCTCTCTGTATACTCCACACTCCAGGGGTTACAATCTTTTCCTCTCTCTGTATCCTCGATACTCCTAGAGATACAATCACATTTTCTCTATGTATCCTTGATACTCCATGGGTTACAATCACCCTCTCTCTCTCTGTATCCTCGATACTCCAGGGGTTACAATCACTTTCTCTGTATCCTCGATACTCCAGGGGTTACAATCACTTTCTCTCTCTGTATCCTCGATACTCCAGGGGATACAATCACTTTTTCTCTCTGTATCCTCGATACTCCAGGGGTTACAATCACTTTCTCTCTTTTTATCTTCGATACTCCAGATGTTAGAATCACTTTCTCTCTCTGTATCCTCGATACTCCAGGGGTTACAATCACTTTTTCTCTCTGTATCCTCGAAACTCACGGGTGTACACGCGCGTATTCGGTTTGTATCCTCGATACTCCAGGGGTTACAATCACTTACAATCACTTTCTCAGCCTGTATCCTCTATACCCCAGGGGTTACAATCACTCTCTCTCTCTGTATCCTCGATACTCCAGGGGATACAATCACTTTTTCTCTCTGTATCCTCGATACTCCAGTGCTTACTATCACTTTCTTTCTCTGTATCCTCGATACTGCAGGGGATACAATCACTTTTTCTCTCTGTATCCTCGATACTCCAGGGGTTACAATCACTCTCTCTCTGTATCCTCGATACTCCAGAGGTTACAATCACTTTTTCTCTTTGTATCCTCGATACTCCAGGGGTTACAATCACTTTTTCTCTCTGTATCCTCAATACTCCAGGGGTTACAATCACTTTCTCTCTCTGTATCCTCGATACTCCAGGGGTTACAATCACATTCATTCTCTGTATCCTCGATACTCCAGGGGTTACAATCACTTTTTCTCTCTGTATCCTCGATACTCCAGGGGTTACAATCACTTTTTCTCTCTGTATCCTCGATACTCCATTGGGATACAATCACTTTTTCTCTCTGTATCCTCGATACTCCAGGGGTTACAATCACTTTTTCTCTCTGTATCCTCGATACTCCAGGGGTTACAATCACTTTTTCTCTCTGTATCCTCGATACTCCAGGGGTTACAATCACTTTTTCTCTGTGTATCCTCGATACTCCAAAGGATACAATCACTTTTTCTCTTTGTATCCTCGATACTCCAGGGGTTACAATCACTTTTTCTCTCTGTATCCTCGATACTCCAGGGGTTACAATCAATTTTTCTCTTTGTATCCTGGATACTCCAGGATTTACAATCACTTTCTCTCTCTGTATCCTCGATACTCCAGGGGTTACAATCACTTTCTCTCTTTTTATCTTCGATACTCCAGATGTTACAATCACTTTCTCTCTCTGTATCCTCGATACTCCAGGGGTTACAATCACTTTTTCTCTTTGTATCCTCGATACGCCAGGGGTTAAAATCACTTTTTCTCTCTGTATCCTCGATACTCCCGGGGTTACAATCACTTTTTCTCTCTATATCCTCGATACTTTAGAAGCTACAATCATTTTTTCTCTTTGTATCCTCGATACTACAGGGGTTACAATCATTTTCTCTCTCTGTATCCTCGATACTCCAGGGATTACAATCACTTTCTCTCTCTGTATCCTCCATACTCCAGGGATTACAAGCACTTTCTCTCTCTGTATCCTCCATACTCCAAGTGTTGCAATCACTCCATCCTCGATATTGCAGGGGATACAATCACTTTCTCTCTCTGTATCCTCGATACTCCAGGGGTTACAATCACTCTCTCTCTGTATCCTCGATACGCCAGGGGTTAAAATCACTTTTTCTCTCTGTATCCTCGATACTCCCGGGGTTACAATCACTTTTTCTCTCTATATCCTCGATACTCCAGAAGCTACAATCACTTTTTCTCTTTGTATCCTCGATACTACAGGGGTTACAATCACTCTCTCTCTGTATCCTCGATACTCCATGGGGATACAATCACTTTTTCTCTTTGTATCGATACTTTCTCTCTCTGTATCCTCGATATTACAGGGGATACAATCACTTTTTCTCTCTGTATCCTCGATACTCCAGCGGTTACAATCACTTTTTCTCTCTGTATCCTCGATACTCCAGGGGTTACAATTACTTTTTCTCTCTGTATCCTCGATACTCCAAGGGATACAATCACTTTTTCTCTTTGTATCCTCGATACTCCAGGGGTTACAATCACTTTTTCTCTCTGTATCCTCGATACTCCAGGGGTTACAATCACTCTCTTTCTGTATCCTCGATACTCCAGGGGTTACAATCACTTTTTCTCTCTGTATCCTCGATACTCCAGGGGTTACAATCACTTTCTCTCTCTGTGTCCTCGATACTCCAGGGGTTACAATCACTTTTTCTCTCTGTATCCTCCATACTCCTGGGATTACAAT